TTTTGAAGTAGTTCAAAATGGAAAAGTCAAAGAAGGAGTTCTTGCATGTGTTGCAAGGTGTAAAGTTGAGTACAGACTCAAAACCTGACCACGGTAGAAAATAGAAAGAGAATGAAAAGTCATTCCCTATGCCTCAGTCATAGGTTCTATAAAGTATGCTATGATGTGTACCAGACCTATTGTGTACCTCACCATAAGTTTGGTAAGAGGGTACAATAGTGATCCAAGAGTGGATCCCTGGATAGCGGTCAAAAATATCCTTCGTGGAATAAGGAAATGTTTCTCGGTTATGGAGGTGACAAAGAGTTCGTCATAAAGAGTTACGTCGGTGCAAGCTTTGAGACCGATCTGGATGACTCTAAGTCTCGATCTAGATACACATCGAAAGTCGGAGCAATTAGCTAGAGTAGCTTCGTGCAAAGCATTGTAGACATAGAAAATTTGCAAAATACATACGGCTTTGAATATGGCAGACCCGTTGACTAAATTTCTCTAACAAGCAAAACATGATCACTCTTTGGGTGTTAATCACATAGCAATGTGAACTAGATTATTGACTCTAGTAAACCCTTTTGGTGTTAGTCACATGGAGATGTGAACTAATCACATAAAGATGTGAACTATTGGTGTTAAATCACATGACGATGTGAACTAGATTATTGACTCTAGTGCAAGTGGGAGACTGGAGGAAATATGCTATAGAGGAAATAATAAAGTTGTTATTTATATTTCCTTATATCATGATAAATGTTTATTATTCATGCTAGAATTGCATTAACCGGAAACTTAGTACATGTGTGAATACATAGACAAACAGAATGTCACTAGTATGCCTCTACTTGACTAGCTCGTTGAATCAATGATGGTTATGTTTCCTAACCATAGACACGAGTTGTCATTTGATTAACGAGATCACATCATTAGAGAATGATGTGATTGACTTGACCCAACCGTTAGCTTAGCACGATGACCGTTTAATTTGTTGCTATTGCTTTCTCCATAACTTATACATGTCCCTATGACTATGAGATCATGCAACTCCCGAATGCCGGAGGAACACTTTGTGTGCTACCAAACGTCACAATGTAAGTGGGTGATTATAAAGGTGCTCTACAGGTGTCTCCGATGGTGTTTGTTGAGTTGGCATAGATCAGATTAGGATTTGTCACTCCGATTGTCGAAGAGGTATCTCTGGGCCCTCTCGGTAATGCACATCACTATAAGCCTTGCAAGCAATGTGACTAATGAGTTAGTTACGGGATGTTGCATTATGGAACGAGTAAAGAGACTTGTCGGTAACGAGATTGAACTAGGTATTGAGATACCGATGATCGAATCTCGGGCAAGTAACATACCGATGACAAAGGTAACAATGTATGTTGTTATGCGTTTTGACCGATAAAGATCTTCGTAGAATATGTAGGAGCCAATATGAGCATCCAGGTTCCGCTATTGGTTATTGACCAGAGATGTGTCTCGGTCATGTCTACATAGTTCTCGAACCCGTAGGGTCCGCACGCTTAACGTTCTGTGACGATTTGTATTATGAGTTATGTGATTTGATGACCGAAGTTTGTTCGGAGTCCCGGATGAGATCGGGGACATGACGAGGAGTCTCGAAATGGTCGAGACGTAAAGATCGATATATTGGAAGGCTATATTCGGACATCGCAAAGGTTCCGAGTGATTCTGGTATTTTTCGGAGTACCGGAGAGTTATGGGAATTCGTATTGGGCCTTAATGGGCCATACGGGAAAGAAGAGAAAGGCCTCAAGGGTGGCCGCGCCCCTTCTCCATGAACTGGTCCAAATTGGACTAGGGAAAGGGGGCGCCCCCTTCCTTCCTTCTCCTTCTCCCTTTCTTTTTTCTTATTCCATGTAGAAGGTGGAATCCTACTAGGACTAAGGAGTCCTAGTAGGACTCCACACTTTGGGCGCGCCCTATGAGGGCCAGCCTCCTCCTCCCTCCATCCTTTATATGCGTGGCCAGGGGGCACCCCATAGACACACAACTTGATCATTGATCTCTTAGCCGTGTGCAGTGCCCTCCTCCACCATAATCCACCTCGATCATATTGTAGCGGTGCTTAGGCGAAGCCCTGTTCCGGTAGCATCATCATCACTGTCATCACGTCGTCGTGCTGACAAAGCTCTTCCTCGATACTCTGCTGGATCGTGAGTTCGTGGGATGTCACTGAGCCGAACGTGTGCAGATCGCGGAGGTGCCGTACTTTCAATACTAGGATCGGTCGATCGTGAAGACGTACGACTACATCAACCGCGTTGTCATAATGCTTCCGCTTACGGTCTATGAGGGTACGTAGACAATACTCTCCCCTCTCGTTGCTATGCATCATCATGATCTTGCGTGTGCATAGGAAATATTTGAAATTACTGCGTTCCCCAACAAACACCTCCACCATGGCGCGGGCAAACTTGACAGTAGTCTTCAGGCATGTGCTCTCCCCCATCCTGACCATATCACCAACGGCATCTGCGGCAGTACCAAGTGCAAGCATCCTTAGAGTAGGCGTGCACTTCTGCTTAGCAGAGAAAGAAAGTAGGTCGCAGCAACCCCTCGTGAGCTTGAAGTAGTCATCATGTGCCTCCACTCCCTCCACAATGCCCAAGAACAATGGTTTCCACATGCGGAAACAGCGATGAAACTATGGATCATCCGGGAAAGTTGGGTTCGGGGCAAAGTAGTCCTTCTACAATAGCCATGCTCCAGACACCCTATCCCGATTGATCACTCTTCTCCCTTTGATTGAGCCCTTGAAGTTGAGAATATGCTCCACGAGCCGGTCCATTTCCTCTTGCATGCTCATGACCATGACCATGTCCACTTCTTCGCCCGACTCCGAGGAATCAAAAAACTCACCTTGAGTCATTTTATCAAGCTCCGTCGGTCCATACTCCTCGTCGGATGAAACATCGGAATCCACAGATTTCCCTAATAAAATCCTAAAAAATCCGATCAAATAATGTATTGAACACATCAAGCGTAAAGCAGAGCCAGAGAGTTGTCGCACGTACCTCGGTGGCGTCTAGGCTAGCGACGACGCCCCCCGCGACGAGGACGGGAGAGAGAATTGCTCTGCCGGAGCTGGCGACGTAGAGGCTAGGAACAGCTGCGGGGCACGCGAAACGGCAGAGCTGCGAGGTGGACAACGCGAAGGAGGAAGAAGAGAGGAGAGAGCAAATGGATCCGATAGTTCTGGGGAGGGGGGCAGTTTGGTGCAATTTGCGGTGGGGTCAGGCTGTCGGGTCCGACGTTGCGGGCGTGCCCGGGCGCCCCTATATCCGCCCCATATTTGGGCTGGATATGAGGGGTGCCGGTCAGTCCGGGCGTTTAAGACCCGTTTGAGGCGTTCGTCTGGGTCGAAATTTCGTGACCGGTCGGTGACCGGACAGGCCGCCCGCACGTTTGAGGCTAGAAAAATAGTGATTAATAACTTTCTTATGCAACCAACTCTGAATGCACACCAAACTATGTATCTTATATATAGACAAATCCCACTGCATGTTGTTGATCGCTATTTTTCTGCACATGCGTGCTTTCACATCATCCGAATTGTTGTTAGCCATTGGATTTTCTAGCTTGGTCAACTAACATCCGTCTGATTTGAAGATGAGTGTCTCTCTACCTTGCAACATGCATGATGAGTTTTGAACTCTCCACTCCCAAATTTCATTTCCATGAAGCTGATACACATTGCTAAAAAAATAAAAATGATTTCCAATTACTCCAACAAAAGGGCTTTCCCCTTTTTGGGAACGAGGACATGAATTGTAATTTGTACACCAACATGTCATGAGCACGATTTCTCGCATGATCGTAGTGGCATGTGCATACTTAGATGGTAACCTGCATGATCATATCCCAGGCTAGTGCAGCAGATGGGCGACCAATCCTATGTGAAAAGGATGCTTAAGGTTCAGAGGTCATTCATGTTCCTTGAGGTTCCACATCTTGTCACCAGTTTTGTCTTCGCCGTCGAAAATGTTGCTTGGATCTGGATGTTACTACTAGCTTGGTTACATGAAGATGCAACTCTGACATGCACAACACTTTGTGTACACAAAGTCATCACCAGCTGTTGTTTCCGGTAGTCATGTTGCCTATCATTCCTAACAATCTTTACCATTTTCCGCACAACACACTTGAGCAACATTATTAGAACATACAATTACAATTCCTGGAGGAAGACGTAGCACCAAAATCTCTACTTATATAAGACATGCGACATGGTAAAGAAGAGCATGAGGAGTTTATGTAAGAGTTCAAATTCTACTTATATAAGACATGCGACATGGTAGAGAAGAACATGAACATGGCAGATATTTCACTTATTGTGGGCATCTTAGGTTGAAAACTTGAATTCTCTGTCAGAGCATAAAAGGAACGTACAGAAGTTCTAGAACAAAAAAAAAAGCACAAGCATATAATTTGTCTATCACAATACCATGCACAGTTCAAATGGTAAAATATTGACAGGTTTGGAGAAGTCTGTGGGAGTCACTCCCTTTCTTTGACAATCTCTACAATAGTCACTTGACCAAAATATCATCTCAAATAAATATATACTACACCATCTTCCTCTCTTCTCAGGTAGTACCATGAGACTTTGTGGTTAAAAAAAGGGACCTCACAACTCATCAAACAACTATCCAATCCACAAGTTTGTAGAAATAAGAGAAATTCCTTCTTCACTACCATCATTCAGAAACAACTACGAAACTGATCACCCTTTCAAGAATTACAGGTGACGAGTGCCATTCTATGGCCATCTTAACATAATGCTGACAAACAACTATGGACATATACTACAAACCCATTATAAATTAACTATGGACAAACAGAGCCCATCATGGCGCAAAGTGAAACAAGGTCACCAGAACTGGAATCCTTTTTCCTTACCTATATCACCATGGAAGGGTGTTTGTAATGAGATCTCTATTGGTTGGCATGTTGTATCCATCACCATCCTCCAGTGTTCATTACTGATTCTGGTGTGGTTTGTCATTCCCGGGTTTCCATCCGAGTTCCCGAGCCCTTTCCTCCCACAAAGCAGTTAATTTCCTTTGACCGAGCAGCGACTCTGCAGATTTCTCCCTAGCTTCTTCACATGTATCCATGCCTGAACTGCATTTGTCAGCCTCCTTTTGATACTGCGAAGCTAGTTTTTTAGCCTCGAGCAACTTTACATCGGCTTGTTGCTGAGCTTCTGTTGCCTCCTCCTCTCTCTGCTTTAGCTCTTCTATCAGCATCTCTGTGATACTCTTCTCTGTTTCTTCACCGGAAGCACGACTCTTGACCTCTTTGAATTGCTTGGCACAGTCTGGAAACATCAGAAGCAATAATAACCAGTTAAACCAGTCACAAGATAATTGCAAAATATGCTATGGAATATAAGTGACCTTGGGTGCTTCGTTTGACATGTTTAATTGCTTATGATAAGGACATACATAACACAGTGCCTATGTTTACAGACAAGGCAATGCTTCAAAAATACTATGGAGTTATTGCAAGGAAAATAAGTATGACTTTTAGACAGCTTATGGACTGGTTTTGTAATGATACTGCATAGTATGATTATTACTTCAGAGGTAGACTGGCAATTTACCATGTTTATTTGCTGAAGAGTTAATATCTTTCAGAGGTAGCATAATATCCAAATCAAGACTAGCTGTAAATATGGATAAAATAACTGAGTTTATTTACTTAAACCACTGACGAAACAGAGTATATCATGGATACAAACTAACAATGGAACAATGGAGTCCAGAGAGAAGAATAAATAAGAAAATATTTCCACAGATAGCAACTAGAGCAGTAGACATATTTTAGACTAAGGTCATCGCAGGTGGAACTTAACAATCAAAGAACAAACATTGCCATTCACCCAAAAAAAAGAACAAATATTGCAATGCTCATATGTGATAGCACAAAGACAAGATAGGCATAAACTTTTCAGTGCCATGGCATGTTTGTTATACATTTAGCTCTATCTTGTTCAGTGGCCATACATAATTACTCGGCTACAACCTGAACCGATGTTCCGACTTCTGAATAACTGAAGACATCTTGTCCTCACCCCCAAATTTCAAGCATACTTAAATTATAATCAATCAGTCATGGCAAGGCCAGGCTCAGAACGCAATAGGCAGCGGCCACAAACGCATTGCTCGCTCTGCGGACGAAATCGCAGACAGAAAGTATAACTCTGCAGAGCGCGGGCTTGCAGGGAGATCTGGGCGGGTAGGTCGGGCCAGGGGGGCGCCGACAGCAAGAGGGGCGGGTACCTTCCGGGAGCTGGAGCAGCGGGAGCGCGTCGCAGTCGCAGGCGCAGGCGGGGCAGCCCCCCGGCGAGCGGCCGAGCGCCTCGGCGACGTGCCAGTAGAGCGGCGGGCCGACGATGTAGGCGGCGACGCCGAGCCCGAGCAGCGCCACCAGCGCCGTCACCGCCGCGGGGCTCGGGCCCCACGATGACGACGACGAAGACGATGACCCTCCCGCCATTGAGTTTGCACCGAGGGCGGATGGTGGTACGGCCGCGCTGCGCTGCGGGGCGAGGTGGTGGGGTGGGGACTGGGATGGCGTGCCTCGTCGGTGGCTCGGCGCGGCGGCGTGGGGGCTAAAGAGGGGGAGGGGGAGCGAGTGAGTGGGCGCGGACCGGACGCGCGCAAGTGGAGACAGACCGGCCCGGACCGAATGAAATGGAGGGGACGTGTGGTGGGTGGGTTCGGCACGCGCACGACGAAGTGGTGAATCCACGAGCAGAGTTTTAAAAACCGGGTCGGGCCGAGCGGTCTGATAAAAAAAAAGGGGGAACCGATGCCTTCTCCGGTCTTTTAATATAAAAAATCCAGAGAAATATTCATAAAATGGTTGGTAAACCTGGGATCGAACCAATGCTAGCAACGCCTTTCCATTTGACTTGAGGTCAACAATTTGAAAAATAGCTTAAATATCCTGGTTTTTCTCACCAATGAACCAATGAATCGGTGGCCTGCTCGGTGAACACGTGAACCGACTACCTCACCGGCTCGATTGCCGGTTTGTTTTTTGAAACTATGCCTGCGAGGGAGGGTGGTGACCAAATCTAGAGATACGGCGATACTGGGATGGTTTTTGCTTTCTTTTTAGAAATGAAAAGGTTCTCAGGCCATGTTGTTGTTAGAAGTTCATCAAAGTCACTCTGTTGTCCCGTAGACCTACGGGCTCGAAGTGCCGAGCTTCTAAAACAATGGACACTTACTCGATAGGTTGTTAATATGTCTCCCAATCCTTTGGGCTGCTAAAAAGAAGCCTTTGGTCCCGGTTGGTGGCATCAACCGGGACTAAAGGGGGGCATTAGTCCCGGTTTGTGTCACGAACCGGGACCAATGCTCTTGCTATATAGACAACACTTTGCAGTTTTCGCCAAAATTCATCTGTTTCTTCTCGCCCCGACGCCTTCTGCTCCTCGTCGCCGTCGCCGCCGAGCCCTCCCCCGACGCCGTCAGGCTGGTCCACCTCGCCGTCACCGCCGCCGAGCCACTGCCCCGACACCGTCGCCGCGCCCGCCGCCCCTGCCGGCCCCGACACCATCGCCGTCGCCGCGCGCGCCGCCCCTGCCCCGACCCCGTCGCCGTCGCCGCGC